CTCCCTTCTGCCTGCCCGGGGGCGCCGGTGGGAGCTGCGGCCTGGACTGTTGGCGGGGACCCGGCGCTGTGGGTGAGGAGAGGTGCCTCCCTCCTCTCTGCCTGCCCCCGGGGGGGGTCTGTGGGCTCTCTGGCCTCGCTTGTCGCTGGGACAGGGAGCCCGGCGCAGGCTTTCGTCCGAGGCACGCGCCGCCGTCTGCGGCTGGGACCGGTCGTATCTCCCGTGTCTTTCAGTGGGTTGGGGCCAGCTTAGCTCTGTTGGGCTCTCTTTCACAGAGGTCGTGTTTAAACAATTTACTTTCTCTATAAAATCGCCCTGAATGGTTTGCTGTGCCCCAAACCCGGTTAAGCGTTCTGGAGAGGCGAAGCGACGCAGCTCAGCGGCAACGCTATGGAAGCAGCTGCGTCTGTCCTGCTTACGGGACCTGCATGGGGATCTTTGCAAAGCCCCGGCCTTGGGGTCCGCTTACGGGGGTCGCTTTGCTACCTGTGTCCTCGCTCTCCTTTACCGTTGGCATCCTGGCGGGGTAGGTGATGTAGACTGGCAAGCAGCGCGGAGGATTGGCAGCCCTGAACCCCAGCTCTGCTAACGGTGGCAAATTGCTTCAGCCCTTGTTTTTGTTTCAGGATCAAATTATGCTCTGGAAGCAGGGGACTGTGGTTTTTTTTAGCGGTGATCTCCTCAGTGCTCAGTTTGTCTAGTCCTGGTCAGTCAGAGATGTTTTGGTATCCCAAGTGCCTGCAACACCCTCTACGTATTTCCCTTGGCAGGAGCCTTGTGGGGCAGGACTGTGCTGTGCAGCTCATGCTGAAGAGGGTGAATTTACGTGAACGTAAAGGGGTCGTGGCTACAGCAGAGGCAGGACTGTGCTGTGCAGCTCATGCTGAAGAGGGTGAATTGAGGCCTGGAGGGTTCACGTAAAGGGGTCGTGGTTACAGCAGAGAGTTTAACGAAGGCTCTGGAGGCCTCGGCCGGTCCTGAACAACTCCCTTACCCTCTCCTTTCATACCAGGGGAGAGCAGCAGAAAAGCTCTTTGACTTCTTGTCCATCAAGTCATATAACTCCTCTCTCCCCAGATTTTTTTTAAAAGTTATAAGAAGTTGAAACAAACTGCTCACAGCCTCCCAGAATGGCAGACCAGAAGCGCCTTGCCTACTCCATCATCCAGTTTCTACATGACCAGCTACAGAATGGGGGTCTGTCTCCAGATGCTCAGGAGAGTTTGGAAGGTAGGTGGCTGTATGCGCTTCCCTATTCACGTGTCTAGGTCTGTCAGCCCAACGCTTGAGGAAACTTGGACACTGTTGCTATCCTCTGCCTCTTACTTGGCTGGGCTGTTCCTGACATCAAACCTTGCTCAAGACTTGAAATGAATTTGTCTTCCTGGGGAGGTACCCCAGGGCGTTAGGGATGCTGATTGCTTATCTGATTTCTTGTTATCTCTTTCAAAAGCAGATTAGCTCGAGGAAGGGATATACCTGGGATCAAAAGCCTCCCTGACCCTGGGTTTGTGACTTAAAAGTTTTATCTTAAATGAGGTGGAGTCAGGAGGCTCGTAGTGTAAAATGAGAACTTTGTGGCTGCGTGGAAGTGTTTTATGCTTGCGGAGTGCTTTCCCTGTTCTGCTATCAAAATGCTTTTCCACGCCACGCCCTGGAGTATTTATACAGGCTTTTTCAGAGGGCTTCACTGGTCGTGAGAGCACACTGGTCTTAAAAGATCCACTTAAGGAGCTTACGCTTTAGTCTTTGGCCGGTACATTTGTCCCACTGAAGGAGAGCACAGGCACGTCTGCAGAGTGTTGGGTACATTCCTGGGCGAGGCGGGAGAAGAGGGTGGGAGGAAGGGTTTGCTCCTGGTGCTTTTGGACTGTAAAATATGGCAGAGTTTTGTAAAACTGAGCGCTGTTATGTTGCTGGGGTTCCCCTCTGCGCTGGGAACAGCTTCCTGACCAGGTGCCTGATGAGGGAGGAGGTGGGGGCAGCCGCAGCCCCCGCAGGACCCGGTGTTTGGTGTCCGTGCACCTCTGCGTGGCCAAAGTGCTTCACAGAGCAGCCACCCTCTGGCAAGTGACCACCTCCTGAAACATGCAGATCTCTCCTTGCTCTCTGCCACCCATGGCTGTGGGAAGGCGAGTAAAGCCCCAGTTTGATTAACCTCTGCCCCCAGCACCTGCTCTGGAGTCACCTGAGGGGACGGGAGTTGTGACTGACTCGATCCAGGAGCTTGGTCTCCAGAGCTGAGGTTTGCCCAGCTCTGAGGTTGTGGCAAAATTTGAGGATATGGCCCAAATATCGAGTCTGGTGTGTGGAATTGTGGTTTAGGGTGGGTTTTTCTTTCCTGGTATGTTCAACAGTAAGAAATTCAGGTGCTGTGGGAGGAGGCTAAGTATTTAGATGGAATGGGGAAAGCTGATTACCTGACTCTTCTTGTCCAGTGGCCATCCAGTGCCTGGAGACGGCATTTGGTGTCTCGATGGAGGACCAAGGCCTAGCTGTGTCCCAGACTCTTCCTGAAATATTTGAAGCTGCTGCAGGAAAGGTGAGTGAGTGCCCGAAAACATGCGCTGAGTTTCAATTTAAGCAGCCGAAGCAGTGAGCTCTGATTTCTGTGGCGATGCTGCCCCCTCGGAGGCGTGTAGGAGTGAAATGTTTTGGGCTTGACAAGCCAGCGCTTGGGAAGGGGGAGGTGTAGTACATCTCAGTGGGAGTCCTTATTGCAGCACAGCGTTCTCCCTTTCCTTGTAAGGAGCCTGAACACATCAGAACAAATTCGGAGCCCATCACCCCCTCTGAAGATGACATAGCTGAAGCCGAAAGACTCAAGACTGAAGGTAACCTCCTCTGGAGCTGGTGTATAATGAGGTTTAGATGATAATGGGGAGGGAGGCTTAATTCACTCGGCGCCTGGGGAATGCTTGGAATGGGGAAGAAAGCAGATGGATTCAACCCTTCCATTTCTGCTTGTTTCTCTGCTTGTGCTCCAGGAGCGTGTGTAGGTTGGCGTAATTTAGCTGCCACAGAGCCTAGATAGACAGCTGGGTCAGCATTTTCTTCTGCATCCTAAGCAGCCCGCGCTTCGTAGAAAAGGGCTTTCCTGTTGAGCTCTCCTCTGCGTGTTGCCTTTTCTCTGCCATGCAAGAGGGCACGATTAGTGCTGAAGCACAACGGAGAGCTTTCTCTGAGCCAAGGCACTGCAGTGCTTTTCAGGATGCAGCGCTGCTTTGGGGAGGCCTCAGGTGTGCCCGAGGTGGGAGGACAGCCGAGGGCGCTAAGGGGGCTTGCGGGATCAGGCAACCTGGAACTGCCAGGACATGGGTCCCCTACCTCGCTGCTGAGCATGACTCTCACTTGCAAGCACTTTGACTGGCACAAGCTGCAAGTGGTTGGGTTTTTCTCTCCTGTTCTATTTTCTTAAGTAGAACGTAGATCCAGGCCTGTTGCTTTTGTTTGTCCCCATTTTTCACTTGTTCGTGAGCCTTTCTGCCATCTCTTTAGGAAATGAACAAATGAAGGCAGAAAACTTTGAAGCTGCTGTGTCTTTCTATGGAAAAGCAATTGAATTAAATCCATCCAATGCTGTGTATTTTTGCAACAGGTACTGATTATCTTTCTTCACCCTTGTACACCTGTGTTTGTTCTTACTACTTAGATATAAGACTCTCGAATGGTCAAAATCCCTTTTCTATGATTCTGTAGACTGCTTGTTCTGTTGCTTGCTCTTTGTGTGGTGTTTTCTTTTTTTGTAAGCTCATAGTGACACATTCCTGTGCCTCCTGCCAGCTCTGTGCCCTGGCGTCTCTAGATAGGATGGGGGTGTGGAAACAAACTCTATTAGGCACTTGAGGAGATAGAAGGATGCCAAGCAATACTGTCTGCTTTCATGCAATTAACTCTAAGTGGGGTAGAGAGCCCAGGTTCGAGAGGCTGCGTTGATAACAAAAACAAAGGAGTGAAATGAGGCAAGTTGAAGGCTCGTTGCTGAGAACTGTGCAAGTTGATGTGTGTGCAAAATTGGGTATGCAAGCGAATTTCCTGTTTTTCAGTTCTAAGCAAAAGTGTTTGGAAGTTGGCGGGAAGGCAGTTGTTGAATAAAACAGGCTTCCAATCAGGATTTGTTTTAGTTTGTGCTTATCGTGAGTACATACGTACAGCCGGCTACAGGAATCGCATGTCTGCACACATGCTAATGACATGGTGAGGTGTTTCTTGGGGCAAGGAACTGCAGCTGGTGCTTTTAGCTAAGCTTTGCTTTAACTGCATGAGGGTCAGTCCCGTGAGATTTTGGGCAGGTGCCCTGATGCCTGCGAGAGCTGCGAGATCGAGCCTTGAATGAGCATGTTATGGCTTCGAAAACAGTTTTCCCTCTTACGTGGAGTGTGTGGGGAAATGGATGAAACAAGTCGTTATGACCAAGAAATCAGGGCATAAGGGAAGCTGAGAGAGACTGCGCTAGCAAGCGTGATACTTGTGTGCCTCCCCAAAGCCCAGGCTCCTCTTGGAAAGCCCATAAAGAGGAGTGAGAGCCTAGGTTTATTTGCAGTAGGAGCAGAACGTGGAGCTGGGTGTTTGGATAGCAGCCTGCTCACCTAGATATGCCCTGGATTCATGTCAAGTTCACACTTGACTTTGCCTTGTACAACAGGAGACTACGGAGAGGGAACAGGGGTGACCTTAATCAGCGTATTCAAGCTGGTAAGTCTTTTCTGCATGTCTTTCTCCATTCCCTCCAGAGCTGCTGCATACAGTAAACTAGGAAATTATGCCGGAGCAGTGAGAGACTGTGAAAGAGCTATAGGCATTGATCCAAACTACAGCAAAGCTTATGGCAGAATGGGGTAAGTAAGAGCAGGGTTTTTTGTGCCAGAATTTTAATCTCAAAGTGCCTAGTGGCAGTGATATCATCAGTGGTGTTCTGCCCTGGAATGCCATGCAAAAATACCTAGTGTTTCACCTCTGTTGGGTGTGGAGGAAGCCTGCAAGTGCTTCTCTGTAACTTTTTATTTTATTTCCACTTTAATAGCTTGGCCCTCTCCAGTTTAAATAAACACACAGAAGCTGTTGTTTACTACAAAAAAGCCCTGGAGCTGGATCCGGACAATGACACATACAAATCAAATCTTAAAATAGCTGAACAGAAAATGAAGGAGACTCCTAGTCCAGTAAGTTCTGAAACTGATGCTTGTTATATGTGGGCAGGATTAGAAGGAGGCTTCTTCACCGTAAGCACTAACAGGTGCTGTCTGGCAGAGCCTCGATGACCTGGCTTGTGTTTAGAATACAAACCTTGCATGCAGACAGAGGGGAGATAGTTAATGAGTCCTGCTGTGAACACTTCCACTCAAATCCGGAGTGGGTAACTTCTCTTCACTGCCTGAGCATGGTCACCTTGGGCTTATTTGAAAGAGCTGGAAAATGGCTGATGAGAAAGGAGTGTTTTGAAGCAGCAATTTTGCCTTAAGCACATTTCTTAAAGTCACTACTCCTAAAATCCAGCTTTTTTCTTTTTCTAGTGACCTGTTAGCAGTACTAAAAGGGCATTTTATGTGGCTTTTTCTTCTTACAAATATTTAAGAAACCTGAAGGTTTCCTAGTCAGAAAGCTGGTGGCCGCACTGCTGACATGCTCTGTGCAGGAAGATGTTAGCTTATCATTTTGAAGGGGATTTTAATTTTCTAAAGACTTCTCCAGTGCAAAGGTGACCAAGTGGGTGTGTTTAACTTGGCAGTTGCAGTGGGTTACAGCTGTACATTGCTAATGTGGCTCAGCTGGTGAGAGGTGATCAGTAAGCCATGTAATGCAGACATCTGCCCTTTGACTCCCTCAGTGAGCCTCCCCCGAGGCTGTCTGACTTCACAGGAAGGGCATGGACAGAGCCTCTTCCCTTTGTTGTGGTTGAAGGCCAGATTCTGATAACACCGGGAGTAAAGTATTAAAGTAATGTTCATTGTAATGTGCATCGGGAAGTGAGAGGATGTCGTCATCTGCCTGTGGCTTCTTTATTCTTACAGACTGGAGGTCCGGGAGGATTCGATTTAGCTGGCTTGCTGAACAACCCTGGCTTCATGAGTATGGTAAATTTGGACGCAGATCACAGCCAGGCTGTGTCTGGTCTGTGCACTGGTCTGTTCAGGATGAAATGTCTCGGTACATGGCTTGGGGAGCTCCCGTGTCTCTCTAGCAGATTTGTTTTCATTTCATTTCTTGGCTTCAGTGTTGCTGTGAGGAAACTGTGCTTGTATTTCATTAAGGTCAGTCAAATGAAGAGCCAGTGTCTTATTCACAGGCTTCTCCTTGCGATGTGCTGGATGTGGAAAGGGTGCCTGTTCTGCATTACCAGCCTCGTCTTGTGTGTTGCACTGTGCTTCTCATAGCTATTTTTGTCCTATTGATCTGTTTCCAAGTATTTCTGCCTTCGCTTTGTTTGTCGTTGAATGGCACAACATCTGCATATCTACCCAGTCATTTCTGACTAAATAGGGTGTCATTTTTTTTCTCCCCTCTTTAAATAGGCATCTAACCTAATGAACAATCCACAAGTACAACAGCTGTAAGTTTTTGATCCCGTCTTGTATTTCCTCTTTGAATCCCTTGTTTGAGGCTCTGTGTGTTTGGCATTTGCAGTAGGTCTGGACCGGTGGGAGCGGGAGGGTGCTTGGGCCAGAAGCATGGAGGGCAGCCTTTAAACCAGACCAGCTGCCTGAGCTAGCTGTATTTTGAGTGCTCTGGACTGTGCTGAAGAGGGATCTTAGGATAAACGTTTGCAGAAGGGGGGCAGGCTAGGTCATGGCGCTGGAATTGGGTTTGGGAAGCTCGGGGTCGGTTTGGCTCTGCTGCGCAGTATTTATGTGACCTGGAGACGGGACGTCACAGCTCCATCTCCGCTAGAATGAGAGCATTTCCATTCTTCGTGCTACAGGGTTATGAGGATCAAATCACAATGTTTGTGAGATGCTTAGGTAATATAAAGTCATAAAATTAATAAGGCACGTACCTCTCCTGAGCACAGGTGGGCAGTGAGTTAGAGACCTTCTGGAGCTCACCCTTTGATTACCATATGAGATAATTTGGCTAAAGGGCTGAACATCAGCCACCATTTCCATTTGCTTCTGCCTGCTCCTTCCGCTGCCGTTGCCAGCTGAGGTTCTGTGCCAGATGCAGCCTGAGGACTTCCAGAGGAAGGGGCTGCGTAGACCCAGCGTGTTCTGGGCTGTTCACCGTGCGTGGATCGGTGTTTAGGCTGTCCTGTCAGTAGATCTCGTTTGATGCAGAGCAAGGAAGTAGCTTGCGTGAGGAAGGGCAGTGTTTTAATTAAACAAACGTAACACAGGGCTTGCACGCAAAAGGGGGAATCTCTGGGAATACAGTAACTGACAGTATTAGAAATATTTCTACATGTTGTGCAGTTCAATGTTACAGTGACTCTTCTGCAGTTAATGCACAAAAAGTTGTTGCAGAAGATTCCCTTGCAGGTAACTTCACAATCAGTGTGGGAAGGTGCTCCCGTTATCCTGACAGTCCCCTCCCAGCGTAAACCAAACAATTTCTGCGGGTTTTTTTTTCCTGCTCTGAGCAATATCTTATTTCCTCAGCATGTCCGGGATGATTTCTGGTGGCCACAACGCCATGGGAGCAGCAGGCACCAGCCCTTCCACGAATGATCTTGCCAGCCTCATACAAGCGTGAGTAGAGAGCTGGGTGTTTCCCGTTGCCTTGGTCAGTAAATGGATTTGGGTTTTTTCTGACCAGAAGTGGAACCTTAATTTACCAGTTGAGGAAGGCTTAAATGTTGGGTGAAGTACTGCCTCTTTTGGTGATGTGAACTAGTTGTTAGAGTTTTGACAATCGGCTGTAAAGAGTTTCCTAGCACCAGACCGTGTTTGTGTGTGTGAGCACTGATAGGACTGTTGCTTGTTCTCCTTCAGGGGCCAGCAGTTCGCTCAGCAGATGCAGCAGCAGAATCCTGAACTAATAGAGCAGCTACGGAGCCAGATTAGGAGTCGAACTCCAAGTGCCAGTAACGAAGATCAGCAGGAATGAGCACTCCAGGTGAGGCTGTGGCCGGGAGTGCTGCTGTACTGTGGCCAGCTGAGGGGGAATTTATGTATTTTGGCTGCAATATCTGTCTTGTGCCTTAATTTAGCAATTTGGTGTGTCTCCCCTCTGTACAGCCTGGGTTCTCTGCGTCAGTACTGCTGGTGCTGTGCCTCAGATGCAAGGCTCAGCCCTGAGGAGTGGTGAATAAGAACTTCCCTCACGCCTTGTGTGACTGACAAACGAGTTTCATTATCTAGTGTTCGTGGTGGTTAAAGGGACACTTTATTTTCTTTAAAGATTGAATTTGCAAATGTCTTGTCTTCTCTCTCTGCAGCGCAGTCCGTGGGAACTACGTTCTTTGCTTTAAAAACTGGAAGCCATGTGCGTGTTGCCATTTCTTGAGTTGGAAGTGTCCAAGAGGGGGGAAAAAATAATGGAAAAACAAAATACTTTATATGACCTGCATGTTAAAGACAGATTCACGCTTCCTTTCCCTAGTCTTCATCCCCGCTCCTCCCCCTCAGCCTTTCCATTAGTCTTTTTTTTTTTTTTCTTCTGGAAGATCCAGCAAGCTGAACACAAACCAGCACCGACAGTCTTTCTAAAGAAACTCAGAAAATTAACTACACTGTTACATTTCTATGTTATTTGCTACATGGGAATTTTTTAACCCGTTTTTGAAGAACGATGCACTCTTCACTACAGGACGTCTTCACTTTTCTGCCCACGTGCCACTTCAAAGAAGTGTTCGAGTCCTACCTAACCCCCATCCTGCCCCGTTTAATCTTCCTGCCGGTTACGAGACAGTACTGCTTGAACACTCTGGAGATCTCGGGATCTTCTTGCCTCCAGGAACAGGGTTTCTGTTGATTAGATTCACTGCCTTTCTCATTCAGGTCTGTAGCAACGTGGCCAGTGTCGTCAATACGCGGGGGTTTGGTGGTCGCCTCTCAGAGGTTAGTGTAAATGTGTCGGGGGGGGGGGGGGGTCTAAAATAT